CTAAAGGGTCACACACTTAGGACTTGTAAGGGAGTAGTATACTACACTAGTGGGAGTAATATTAAATATATAGTTGTGATAATTTTATACATATATATGTATTTCGAAAATACATATGTATTTTAAAATTATATTTTGTTTGTGTCATTTTAATTATATGATAATTATATTTTGACAAAACAAATTTTATTATATATATATATATATATATATATATATATATGTAGTGCCGAATGTGTGTGTATATATATATATATTATTATAATTTTCATCATTTTAATTATATGATAATTATTGATGTCAAAATAAAATGTAATGCATTTTAATATGAGATGGCCGAAAATATCAAAGGGAAAAATACAAGACATAAATTGATTTTCTACCTAATGATATATTTGATTGATATAATCAAATATTTGATTAAAAAAAGGATATTTGTCTTGTTGTGTTGGTTGGGGACATTACATTAATCCTAATTTCTTTTGTCCCTAAGCTATTTCCTAGAAATTCATTTAAGTTGTTTATTATAAAATGAAAATACAATCCCTCCCCTTTGAGCTTAATACATTCGGCCATCACAAGGAAGAGAGAAAAAAAAATCCTTTGAGCTTAATACATATTTGAGCTTAATCCCTCCCCTTTGAGCTTAATACATACATACATACATACATACATATATATATATATATATATATATATATATATATATATATATATATATATATATATATATATATATATAGACACACACACACACACACAGTCCTCAGTGCCAGTAGTACACTGTCCAGCCCCTCCAACTTCAGCTCCCACTTCTGCTCTTTTAGACCCTACACCTCCTCAAGGCCCAGAAGTTGTTTCAGACAGTGAAGGTAATAATATGGCATTGGTTTTGTGGAAACCACTGCCTATAGCTGAATCTAAATTCTCACCACTCCTGCAACTTGAAGAAGAAAATGAAAGTGATGAATCAGATTATGAAGACCTGGGAATTATGTATGATTATCCCTGCAATTCCAAAAGCCTCCCACCAATTCCAGAAAAAGTTAAAGAGATGCAGCTCAATACCTCAATTAAATCCAGGCTTAGATCAGCCAATAAGAGCTCAAATCATTCAGTTTCCCAATGAATGCTCTTTTTTGGAATGTTTGTGGTATCAAGTCATCCCTCAATAGACTTATACTTCTCAAGAAATGCTATAATTTCATTTTCCTAGCTGTCTTTGAACCTTTTGTGGAGGAAAAAAAACTGGACTTTTACAAACTCAAGCTTGGCTTCAATCATGGATTTTCAAGTCAATTTAACAAATGTTGGATCTTCTGGGATAGTGATAAACTCAGTTTATCTCAGGTACAAGAAGGTGAACAAGTTACTACCTGCCTTTTCAATTTTGTGGAAACTAAAGCCCCTATATTTATCAGCTCAGTTTATGGAAAACACAACAGAATAGAAAGACTCAATCTCTGGGAATCTCTCATTGATCACAACCCTGAAGCTAAACCTTGGATGGTGGGAGGGGATTTCAACACAATTAGCTCCTACACTGAGCATCAAGGTAATAGCTCTCCTTGTAGCAGAAGTATGGAGGATTTTAGAGATTTTATACTCAGCTGCAATTTACTAGAACCCACCATCAAAGGCAGCTTCTTCACCTGGATGGGTTATAGATCTAAAGGGAGGGTGTTACGTAAGCTTGACAGGATCCTTATCAATCAAGAATGCTTGAACAGTTTTAGTGATATTTATCTTCATCACCTTAGCAAGACCTCCTCTGATCACAAAGCCCTACTTTTGGAGTGCATTAACTCTACTTATAAAGGACCCAAACCCTTCAGATTCATTAATGCTTGGACTTTGGATGATAGTTTTTATGTAATGGTAAAAAATTATTGGAACTCTATCTCTAATGGTAGAGGAATGAGGGGTCTAGCCAACAAGCTCAAGGGTCTTAAATTCTGCATTAAGAAATGGAATGCTAACCATTTTGGCAATATTTTTACTAAAGTCAAGGAGGCAGAAGATGCAGCTATTAAAGCACAGAAAAGGTTTGAATCATGCAACACAGATGATAACAGAGAGGCCTTTCATCTAGCAAATGCAAACCTTCTCAAGGCATGCAAAACTGAAGAAAACTACTGGGCACAAAAGGCAAATATCAAGTGGCTAGCTAGTGGTGATGCTTCTACCAAATATTTTCACTCTCTTGTTAAAGGAAAAAGAAGGCAAGCTAGAATCAGAGAACTTAAAGACCATTCAGGGAAGGTGCTGCTAGATCCAGACCTTATTGCTAATTACATTTCCAATCATTATGAAGCTACATTCTCTGAGGACTATATTGGGAATCTGGGGGACATCATTGCTAAAATTCCAACTATTATTAATGACCTAGATAACCAGTGTATCACTACTCTCCCTCTCGAAGATGAAATCAAAGCAGCAATATGGCAACTCAATCCCAACAGCTCTGCAGGTCCTGATGGTTACAATGGAGAATTTTTCAGACACTTTTGGGATATCATCAAGGCAGACCTTATCAGTGCCACTAATGAATACTTTCAAGGCATCCCCATTCCCATGGCTTTTGGAAGTACTAATATCACTCTTATTCCCAAAGTGGAGGGAGCTAGAGAAATTGGTGACTACAGACCTATTGCTCTATCTACCTTTTTTAGTAAGATGCTGTCCAGGATTGTGTGGCTAACAGACTTGGCCCTATGCTTAATAAAATAATCTCTCCTGAGCAAGCTGGTTTTCAAAAAGGGAAAGGTATTGAGGAGCATATCCTTCTAACCAATGAACTGATGCACAACCTAGACTCTAAGGTTAGGGGAGGTAATGTTATGATCAAGCTGGACATGGCCAAAGCCTTTGACAAGATCTCCTGGAACTACCTTCGGGCCATCCTTCAAGCTTTTGGGTTTAATGAACAAAGCATCTCTCTCCTTCTCCAAAACTTAAGGGCAACTTACATGTCTATTTTAGTGAATGGGAAACCCAATGGGTTCTTTAAAATCAAGAGGGGAGTCAAGCAAGGTGATCCTCTTTCCCCTCTCTTGTTTATTATAGGATCTGAGGGTTTTGCAAGAATCTTAAATCATGCCATCAATTCTAGATACATCTCCCCTTACAAGGTGAGAAAGAATAGAGTGGTATCCCATCTTGCTTTTGCAGATGATCTTATTATCTTTCTTAAGGGAGACCTTAGGAATATCCTAAGATTCAGACACCTTCTGGATAGCTATCTTAAGGCTTCAGGACAGGAGGTTAATAAAAAGAAAAGCAGGATTTTCTGCAAGAAAGGGAGCAGAGGTTTATATACTAGCAAGCTGGAAGATACTTTAGGGTTTAAGGTGGGAAACCCTCCTTTCAAATACTTGGGTTCTACTATCA